CTTCCGATCGAAAACTGACGGGCGAGTTAATCGCCTCGGTATCGCAGATGCAAAGTTGGGTTCACGCGAATCTCTTCCAACTTTGCAAACTAACGCGACTCGACGCGAACACCTCCCCTATCTCTAATAACGGTAATCAATTTTAATCACAGCTGGATGAGAAGAACGTCGAACTTCCGTATATTTTTGAATCAGCGAAGACGAATGTCTGTGTATCTGTTCCACGTGTTATGGAAACGCCTTGTTTTTCGACAGTATCGAGAATGAATTTTTAGATTCGCTTCCAGGAAGAAATTATCGATCCTATGTACAGAATTGCTACGCGAATCGAGGTATTTTCAAGCAGATCCGCGTCGACTCCGGTACAGTTTACGGATAAAATTGTATTAGAGGGGAAGGGTTTGACACGATGGAACACGAAGTCGGCTCGCAGTTCGTAAATTCAACGATGAGTGACGTGTCTCAATTGTGATTCACTGCAATGCGTCACAGTGAATAGAGAATCTTATTCTTGGCTCATCGTGGCTTATTGTTCGCAGTCACCTACTTTCATTTGCCCAATTGTATCGTTTGCTTCGCGCAACACTCTATGAGCTATGTGTCTGTACGTACTTTAAAACAGGAAATTTCACTCGATCGTCGTAATGTTCGCGAAAACGCTCATTTTTCAGCTTCCACGCGTTCGCGGTCTAAACAACCAGCCTCAGCTTCGCAGCTTAACCGATAAACCAGTGCACTTTTTAAGAAATCCGGTCTAATACGAGTACTCCGAAGTAAAACTTTTCATCGAACCGATGAAAAGTTCTTGTTCGTGATTGGCGGAATTTTACCAGTTTACTGCTATTTGACCGCATCACGTACTATAAATAGGTTTAAATAATCACGTGAGGCTTGCATACTGACGTACACGTGTAGCGTTGTATAGAGTATCCATCTCCGAATATTAGACCGATTTCCAGAATAATGGAGTTCATCCATGACGCGAATAACTCGGTACGTTCGAATAATTCGAATGATTTTATCGTTGCGTGTACAGGGAAGAAGGGAAAGTCGCAAAGACATATTTTCTAGCCATAACTTTCCTCGTTTGATCCTCGTTCTCTTTCGCGAAATGCTTTAAAAGCTTTTCGCTTTAAGCATCGATGTTAATAGCCGGCGTGAGAATTCAATAGCACTCGTCTTCTCTTTTTTTCCTTTGCTCTTTTTTCCCATTCTCCTCGGAGAAATTGTAAATTTCGTAAATCACCCACTTCGTTTAACGAGCTACTTCGAAGAAAGGGCAAAAAAACACTTCAGTTTTCTTTTCCCTCTATTTCGTGAGATTTACGAGAAGATTCCGAATGTATGGCTCTCGCTTGCCAAATGAACACGCATAAAAATATCTTTTCGGAAAACAGTGCAAAGAATGAAATAAAAGGAAGAAAAAATGTATCGCAGTTCATTGTCGCAGAGCATACTTTCGTTATATTTTCAGTCAAAAAGCTTCCGAAGCCATTTACCTTTTGCTTTTACGATTGTCCTTTGGGTTTACGTGCTTACGCCACTGGGTTCGCGCTAAAGAATCGGTAAAATAACGTAGACTCGTAAGAGGAAGGTTGGAGTAGTACGAAGTGAGATTACATGGACGAGAGAGGATGAGAGACCCAACTTCAACACCAAAATGGCGGAGGCCTGGAGGGTTGGAGGTGGCACGTGTTTGACAGCCTAACCCAGTGGCGTAACAATGAACTTATATTCTTTGTACCGCCAAGTCTTTTACAACACTGGATCGTAGCACCTAGACCAATCGAGCAACGATGTTACGAAATGAAATGCGATGAAAATAAACCGTTGGCTAATTGCTCTTTATTTATTATCTCGTTATTCAGCGTTCGTTTACGTTAGCAAAAAAAAAAAAAAAAAAAAAAAAAAAAAAAACAAAAGGAAAAAAGAATAAAACATCGAAATTTATCGCCAAATATCAAATTGTTTTATCAAATTGTAATCGTATCATCGACTTGTTTATTACGACGTTCTTTATCCCGTCTGATAAGAAATAAGAGTAAAGTCGAATTGGAATTAAATACCATCACGTTCTTTAGCTGTCCCTTAAATATACTTAGAGAAAAAGTGCTAAGAAATATACAAATAGTCGTTGGACTGTGATAACCTTCCTTTAATCTATACGAACTAAGCATTCTATTTCGACGTCAGGATTATCGGGAAAATTCTTATCGTTGCTTCCTGAACTCTACGCCTCTGAAGCCCGGCCACCCCCGCGTGCCACCCCAAGTACACCCCTAATGACGTCATAGGACAGTGGCGCCAACAACTCTGCTCTGACGTCAGTCCTGAACATTGGGCAACCAAGTTACCTTTGCGCTATGAATTTCGCATTTCTCCTATTCTATTCCATGCGAAAAGAAAAAATGAGGGAAAAACATTTTTGCAGTATCTTGCTCTATTATCATTGTCAATCGGTTTCTTCCAGTTTTTATTCCATTCGTTAAAAAACGAACGAAGCATCGGTCAGAGTAGGGGCTTTGCATATATCGTGGTATTATCGAGTCGGCGTAAAGCAGTACCTCCGTCATCGATTCATCATGACGACAGCAATGACGATTCCACTCGCCATTCGTCACCTGAACTACAGTTGCAATTATGTTACATCAGCCTAGTATGTTTGTTCACTTCATTTTCCAACTTACGTGATAAATGCTATATCGGTCTCCTTTGCAATACCTTTTAACCTTTCGCGTCGTTTTCAAACCGCGATGAAATATTAGGTACGAGTTATTTTTAACTCGCATAACTATTCTTTTTTTCTCTAAATTTCTGGTCTTACGAAATTTTCGTATTCCTGAGTCATCGAAGGGTAACAGTTGTCGCATATTTCGAGAGAAAACACGGTTCCATCGGTAAATCGACTTTTCCAAGGTCCCATTTGCGCTTACGTTCGCACATCAAACTATTCGCACAATTCATTGCCAATGTCATGCAGAGTACGAAGAGATATAGAACTACGACAGTAACCGATTAAAATCTTTCATTTTTATAGACATTTTAACAATGCCTCGATACGTAATACGTTATAGAATGCTGCGAAATTAATAGCCCGCTCCAAAAATGTTATCACCGTTATTACCTACCGTGTAAAGCTGCGCAAACGGCTTGCTTCTAAAAACTTCCATAAATATCTCTTGAATGTTTATTACGATTGACGTTTGCGTGGTAGAGACAGCCGAATAAGGGTTATTATCTAGTAACAGAAACGATCGAAATTCCTGAATATCTCGACGAATAAAGCGAAATGAAAGCATCGAACATTCGAAGAAAGTTTGTTAGAGGATCTCGGCACTTGCCATTGATATTTCTTAATTGAGAAATAATGCGTTCGAGTATGACATCTTCGCTGTGTAAGTAAGAATTTACGTACGTACATTTGCACACGTACACTTGTGCTTACGTCGCATCCCGCTTTCTCGACGACTCATTGTCGACGATTCAGTGATATATACACACCGTTCTCACAAACGGACGGACAAACGAACGCGAATCCCTCTTTTTATTGTCGCGACGATGACGTCAATTCTCTCTAATCTCGGTGCTCATTTCCGAAAATTATGATAGTACCGGTAGGCCAACGTACCGTCGACGGACGTTTAGGACGATCATCGGTTTCCTGATTACGACCCTCCTGCCTTCTACAAACGATTTTGCCTTGTCGCTTACGGCTTTTCGTTTTGAAAATCAAACCACGATCACGTCGCCTTTCATTTAATATCATTCGTCGTTCATGTCGTAACGGTGCAAACGAGTTTCTTTTAAATAGAAAATCGTTTTCTTTGACGAGATTAAATCCGAAATAATCGGATATCGTGTCGAACGAGATACGACAAAAACAAATAATATTCCATATATATTTTACTAGTGCAATTTTAAAATCCCACATGGACACTATGATCCCTAACGATCGTATCTTACCGTGTTTTCCATTAGTTAGTTAGGAGAATTGGTTCTGTGGAAATAATGAACCCACCATCGATACTTGCCATACAAGGTGCTATATGTAATCATCGATGTTTTTGTTATCGATTTTCTCGGTTTTCATATAACGACCATGTTACGTAACGTTAACCAAGGTCGCGGTACAGGATTGTTTTTCCTATAAAAGTGACCTTACAATCCCGACACCTATGTCTTGTACATCGATCAAATCAACGATGTCGGTAATCGATTTCGGGCTAGGGTAAGAATAAAATCATCGGCATACCCTAACCTGTACAAATATACATACTTAGCGCAATAAATTATCCAAAGATAATTGGCATACAGATTTAACCTCATTTTTGCTTTAGAGTCATACTGTTTAGAGCATGTCTCGCGCTAGTCTATCTTTCGTTCGACCTACTTTGCACGATCAAAAACTAGCGGAAAAATAACTTTGCGAATGTTTACGTTCGTCACGTAAAAATATATCAAAATACGAAGCAGCACCGAGTAGACTTGGAGTATCAGAAGAAAGAACCTTGGGTGGAAGATACGCGTAGAGATCATAAATTTGCGAAGAATTCCTCGACCGAGTATCTCGGTAAATGTAAAACTAATAAGGGAAATCGTGGTGCTTAATGATGCTCGTATATATAAAACTCAAATGTTAATGTTTATTGCTGTAGAAGTGTAGTCAAAATATTTATTATACGAATATACAACACGTGCTAGAAGTATGAAAAGTGCAGTATGAATCGAGTGAAGGAATATCGGGATGGTTAATTAAAATATGATATTTTCGTCGTTTTCTTCGTTCTTTCTTCGCGAAGAACGTAGAAAAGACTACCATTCAAAGCACTGCAGACACGTTTAATTTTACACGATTGTTCTAATTCCATCGATCTTCCATTTCCGGCGCAACCGCTATGAAATTAATAATTTCTTACATACTCGTTTTCATTCGCAATTATAGTATACATTATTTATACGTTACGTAAGACCTAGTCAAGCATTCTCTGATATCGATTAAGTGAGATGTTGGGGCTGACGTATAGCAAGATAAATTACATAAAATAAATACAATGATACATACGATAATCTATCGAACATTCGCTAATTATAAGCAATTTATTTATCTAAAAAAATTGTCTTTTTTCTTGAATTTCTGATCTATTTGATATAGATCTACTTGTAAATATATAATATAAAATACGCGTAGCGATATAAAGTTCATCGAAAAGTCTTTTGCTATTGGCAAATCAACAGAGATCGATGTTCGCTCTCGATCGAATTGTGGTCTCTTATTAGCAACAAATCGTACGAATAAGTGTGCGTTAACAATGGACGTGGATGGCTTAAAGGTAACAAAGGAAGAAAAAGACTTAAAGCAACTTAAACTGAACGACGTTTAACGATACTCGTGGTTGACGAATATTCGTTCTTCTTTCATACGCGATTTAACGAGGTACAACGGCAACAGTCGGGACATGAGAATGACAGCATGTTACGATTACAGAGAAGAGGCACGATTTTCCAGAGGTTTTTAATCGTCTTCGTTGCCCCATTCGAAACTCTCTTCCCCGCCGGATGTTACCTCTTCGATTTTCGTCGATTCTTCCACGGCATTTCCGCCAGTCACGACTTTGCCTTCCGCTGCATCTGGTTCCTCGACGAAAGGATCCTCTGTCATATCAAAGTGTTCCTCCTCGTGCATGTCTTCTTCCTCGATCTTTGTAAAGGAAGAAGAAAAAACGAAAAGCACGATAGAAAGTTGGCGAAATGTAAAAATAACAGGTACACGTTTCTCAATGTCGATATTTACCCTGGTGTCGTCGTCTGTGACTGGATCGTAAGGCCTTTCCTCCCTCTCCTGATCGGTAAGATCGCACGTTAATACATCGTCGCAAGAATGATCGATATCTTTCACTTCGTCTGCATCGCCGAACGTGACATTCGCTAGCCTCTCCTCTTTCTCTTCTAGTTGACGAACCTTCTCCAGTTGTTCCTCCACGATCATTCGCTCCTGTTCCTTCAGCAAAGCCTCTACTTTAGCTTCTTCCAACTTCCTGAATAGGCAAAACGAAACGTCGCATCGTATATGACGTGCAATCTAAGGACACCTGTTTTCCTAGAAAATTATAACCCTGATTCGTAAATTACCGTTCTTGCTCGAGTATTCTTTCTGTTTCCAAACGAGCAGCTTCGATTTTCTCTTCCTCGGCTTGTCTCTCAGCCCCGGCTTGTTCCTGTTTGACAATCTCATCGAGATGAGCTACCCGTTCCTGTGCCGCTTGCAATGCCTCCCATGCCTTCAACTCTTCCGCTTCGAGTTTCACCCTTTCTTCCTCCGCAGCCTGTTTCCTCTCCTCGTCGCTCCTGTGATAAATCATCCAGGGAATTGAGGTGTTTTTAATATTTGGTACGAGGCACGAGTCATCGGTACCCTGCCAGTTCGCAAAAGATTCGAGTTCAACGGAGGTTGAGATTTTTGGCGAGCATATGGGTTACAGGCGGATTAGGAGGTTACTTGACCGAGTTCAATGTTAATGGTTTCGCGAATGGTCGTCAACTATTTCGATACCGTTATTTATACCACTTATTTGTTACATAACATTTTTGCTAATGATAGGTGCCAACATTATTACAGCTACGCACCTTGCCTCTTCGGCAGCTTTAACGAGGTACTGCTCTATTCTTTTGACCGCCTCCTCCTTGTCTTGTCTCACTGAAATTAATATCGCCTCGTTAAAATCGATGCTTTTTAATCGAAATGCTTAATCTCGAATCGAGTAGTTTGTGTCGCGTGCGATACGATACCATACATCTTTTAAAACCGAGCAAAGAATTATGCACGTTACGAAACGAATATCATGCAACATGACACAGATTGGGTAACATAGGTACATATATCATAACAACTATAATTATCTCGTTATATTTTATACTCGCCGGCTTATTCGGTATGCTAATCCATAATTTTTAAATCGTTACTCGGCACCTTTTTCGAGATAACATACCATTCTTATCCGCTGCCTGCTTTTCGGCTGTTTCTTCCGATTCACTTACAGCTTCCGTAATTTGAGGCTCTGAATTTGTTTCCGGTTTAGATTCTCCTTTAGATTCCAGCTCGGATACCGGCATCGGTTCTTCAACTGCTGCTGGTTGTGGTTCCTGTGGGGTTTCTGCAACGGGTTCCGTAACCTGTGATTCCGCGGTAGGTTCTGCCTCCAACGTCTTTTCAGGTTCTGCAACTGGTTCAGGTTCTGTCACGGATTCCAGTTTCTTAACTGGTTCGGATTCTTGTACAGGTTCCGGTTCTTTTACAGGCTCGGGTTCTTTTACGGGTTGCAATTCCTGTACAGGTTCAGGTTCAGGTTCTTTCACAGGCTCGGGTTCCTTCACGGGTTCCAGCTTCTGTACAGGTTCGGGTTCTTTCACAGGCTCGGGTTCTTTCACGGGTGCAGGTTCCTTCACAGGCTTGGCTTTCTTGGCAGATTTGGTTGCTTTTACGGGTTCTGGTTTCGGTTCTACTACGGCCTCTGGTTCTTTCGCGAGTTCAGGCTCTTTCACAGGTTCAGGTTCCTTTACAGCTTCCGGTGTAGGCTGTGCCTCTTTTACCGGTTCTGGCTCCTTTACAGGTTCCAACGCCTGAGCTTTGGCTGGCTCGCTTTTCGTTTCCTTCGTTTCGGCTTTTTCCCGCTTAGATCCACGTTTCTTTTCTGCTTTTGATTCCGTTCCATTGTCTGTTTTAACAGCTACAAGATAGATGGAACGATCACGTCGGCGTATTTTAATGGAACACGAAAACTTGCAATTTCACGAAGAATCGTACCTTTCCTCAGCGTTGACTCGTCCACGTCAGGTTGCAACGCCCGCGCTAAAATTTGTTAAACTACGTTAACGAGGATAACGAAATAACACGCACGAGTTGTATCTATCGACGAGTGTTAGACTTATGTTACTGACCCTTCCGTAACTCTCTGTCTGTCATCGGCAGATCTTGCGCTATAGAGGTATATGAAACATAAATATTCAATTAACGATAAGGAATCCCTGCGGGGCTAAATTTCTGTATCTGAAATAAGCACAATAGTAAACGCGACACGAAGCCGTGATTAGGAAGTTAGCTGGAGGAACATTCGGAAAAACATGTTTGTTAGCTCGACATGTGTACCGACATTGACACGAAGCTCCATAAACGCAAAGCGGATTAATATTCGGGCATACATACGATGGTGTGCGACCAATGAATTAGCTTATTAGGAAAATTCGAATTCGAGAGTATTGACGATGAAATTATTCCTGAAATCAATAATATTTGCTGTTACGACGAAATATTACGACGTAATACGATTTCCGTAGAAACGATGAATCGATTCGCTGTTCTCGTCTTGTTTCGATGTTGCGACTGCTTCCACACGTAGTCACCGTGGTTTGCGATGGTCAATTTGTAAAAAAAAGAATTAAAAGAGTAAAGGCACGGTGTACTTAACATCGTGGTTCCACCGCATTCGTTCCTTCGATGAGAATGGGACACTCGTTTGTGTTACGATTTTCATTAGAATTATATTTGGATAACTCTCGCCGCACGAGGGGAATTCGTGCGAGACACTTTTGCCTCTTTTAATGCAAGATTTTACGATGCTGCGATATCATTCTTGTCTTTATAATATCGCTGTTGTTACTATTAAAATTAATGTTGTTCTCTGAACAACCGAAAAGCACTCCACTTCAGAAACAAAATGTCAGCCGGCCTGATTATTAGAAATGTAAAACACGTAAGGGAGCTTACCTCGAAATAACGCATTCACTCGCTAGCCAGTTCTCCTAATTTTCCGATATTTTGTGTAAGGAAAACAATTGACGGTGCCGTTTTAATCGTCGGTTATGTTTATTTTATTTAGACACTTCTTTGGCAGGATCGGACATATTTAACGATACCAAACGTAATAACGAACATGTTAATGTCGAAATATAACGAATACGTTTCACTCGAATCGCGCTTTCACGTGGATTATACTCGATCAGACCGGTAGAAACGATACGATTACTCGTAACAGCTATTACGGAGTTACGATGAATCGCAGCTGCCGATAAAATCGACACGAAAGGATAATTTTTATAATGAAATCTACAATGATCGATCTCGAGTTGATAGTCTGGGCAGAAACGTTTCCGGGAAAGATTTCAAAGGTAATCCATTTTAGACGGTGAAACGTGCAAATGATCTCGAGCGCAGAATCGTGTGCTCGTGTGCTTGCTGGTTAAGAGCCTGAATTATTCGTCGATTTAGAAATTGTAACGGTATTTAACGCGAGCGTAGTCATTCCTCGGCGGGTTCCTCCTTTTCTTTCTCTTCCTCCTCCTTCTTTTTCATTTTCGTCGGATCTTCGTAGAGCTCTGGAATCCGATTCCTCCATCCCTTGCCTGAAACGTTCAAAAAAGCCGAACTGGTTCTTCTGCCATTTTTACCCGAGTCTACGTGTCCCAGTCATCTGGTTCTGCCTGACACTGGAGTCTGCCTTCGTGTAAAATCTTCCTCTCTTTTCAGTTTTCAGTTTTAACCCGCATTCCCCGATTGCCGTTTATTCCGTCAGTGAGCGCGAATCGGGATCACGTGCTCGTGACACGTGAATCAAGGATGAATAAAGAAAGAAAGAAAGAAAGAAAGAAAGAAAGAAAGAAATGAAAAGAAAAGATAACGAAACCGTTCGACATGGCATAAACTAGAAAAAAATAACAGGACAATGCTTTGTCTCACACCTTCGTCGCTACGTATATACTTAATTAGACACAATATATAACAGAAATATATAGCCACGGACAAAAAAACGAGGAAAAAAAGATAAAGAGGAGACTACGTAACGAACGAGGAAAAAATACGCTAAAATACAAGAATAACACAGCACAGCAAAAATTGTCAGGTAGAGCGAATCAATGGCAATCCATCCAAAAAAGAGAAGAAAAAGTAGAAAACCGAGCGGGAAAGAAAAAACCAAAAAAAGGTACACACAACGGCGTCATGTGGCCGCTTTTATTTTCCAGAATTTTCTTCAAAATATATTTGATAATGAAAGGCGAGAAAGGGCAATGTCGAATAACGACGGTTCTTGACACGTTCCATCGTCGACGTGGAACGATATGATACCAGCGAATCGAGTTGCATTTCGCGACAATTATTCGTCATTAAACCTTTCTCGCTGTAAAATAACTACTACTCCTACGTGTTTCGTGTTCGAATTCAGTGGAAAACATTCGTTCGTACCGTCCGTTTGATATAGACTTGATCGCAAAGGAAAAGTAATACATTTTCGTCCGTGTCCCAATTATCGTGTTCGTAATCGTCATAGTGATCGTCGGTATAACGAAATTACTCACAGGCGTTAGCCGCCGCCTCGCGGTTCTTGCTGTAGTAACTCAGAAAATTCACATCGTTTTTGATATCGGAAGGACGTAAATCGGCAACCTTGAAGTAGGGTTTCCTGACAGACTGTGGCTTGCCGGCGACGTATTTAACGCACGACAGATTACCGAAGTTACCTCGATCGGGCACTTCGTACCAGGAAACCGGCTCTATCATGTCCTTCTTAGCGTTGTTCTTGCCGGAGATCAGTCTTCGCACGTAATCCCCGCTACGCATACGTTCTGGCACGATCTCTTCCGCGAAGTCGCTAAAAATCAAACGATACGTATTACCATGTCGTCGACGAATACACCTCGAAATGTCGACCGACAGTTCGATCGTCTAACGTATGCTTAGAATCGCTAGTTTACCGCTGCTCTCGTTCTAACCGCATAACGATCGCTGCGTTAAATACCTTGCTGCGGCTCGTGGAATGAAGACGTGAACTCGTCGCAGAAGGGAATCCACTCTCGCACGTATTTCCCTCGCCTCGTCGTCGAAGTACTGCGAAGAGAGACACGTAAAATATAGGTCGAACGATGGACCACTCTCTTGCGAGAGAAATTAGTAGGTATTTACTACGATCAGTTCTTTATTCGGTTAATCCTGCTAAATCGATAATCGATAATCGATAAATTATATCGCGTAGCTGAGAATCGCGAGAAAGTCGTGACACGAGGATATGAATCTCGCGTTAGATTAAATTATATCGCGTAGCTGAGAATCGCGAGAAAGTCGTGACACGAGGATATGAATCTCGCGTTAAACATGCTTCGTAAGTAGTGGCTAGTTTCGTTGAAAGGCAAAATTGAAACGGAACGTTCGCAGAGTGAAGTGCGACTCGATCGTTAATCGCAAAAATATAAAAGCTCGATCTTTAGATGTCCATAAAATGACGACGCGATTCCGCCGAACGAGGATGCCAGATGTGTCTCGAGGAAGATGCGTTGATATCGTGAAGAGATGCGACGACGAGAATGATCGGTGATGCGACGTGTCGATGGCATGGATGATGACTGGATGATGACACTCATGCTAATGATGCCACGAATGATGAGGCGGTTTTACGCCGAACGAATATCACGAGAGACGTGGCAGACTTACGATGTGATCCTTTGATTGAAGATACTTTTCCGTGTAGGATTCGGTGGATGGTCTTGTCAGGTTGCGTATCCTGTTGATCTCAGCTGCGAGGACGCTGGGACGTACACGCGCATGAACTCTTATCGGTATCAGACTGCCACCATGGTACACAGTATGGTACGGCATGTGGATTACAGTCACGAGCCGTTTATGAGCCACGTATGGCATGCGGGGAATGCTTCTCAACTAGAGGCACGAACTCTGCTTTACTAATTCGTCGACTAATCGTTACGTTCCCAGCGGCATCAGCGACAATTAGCTTCGTGCAAGCGTACTTCTCTCAAGCTTGCAGCAGCTTTTTCTAAGCGTCCGATTTTCCTCACTCTCTCTCTCTCTCTCTCTCTCCCTTTCTCTCGTATCCTCTCTATGTTTTCCTCTGCTTTTCACCATTCAATCTTATCGACGTTCGAGCTGTTAGCAGCGGTAGGCAATCTGTTAGATAATAACGATCGTCGTGATTGCGACATGGAGCAATACTTGGGCAATTGCAGCGATAAGTAGACATGGTAAAGCGTTGACCTGTATGATTGCGCTAAGGAAAATCGATGAACGTGCACGCGATACTTGGATATTTTATTCAACGATGATTGCGAAAATGAGTCTGGCGATAGACGAGTTTGATTAATCGAGGAGGATAAGCTCGATTGAATTTCAGCAATCGATATCGCACAGCGATGGGTAAATATTATGCGTCGATGAACGATGGTTTAGTAGCGCGTATGAAAGAAGCAGAAAAGCGTCGTACTGGTGTGCATACAAAGCAAATTTGATAAAATAGAAATGCAGAAGAGAAAGGAGACTATAAAGCTGAGGCAAATCGACGAAAACGTACCGTCGAAAAGATCAGAAACATTTTCGTTGGAAAATTTGACAGTGTCGCAATTAGATTTCGCGATCGCACTTGTCGCATTTCGTATTTGCAAATTTAATATCGCGAACATTTCGCAAGCGAGTTACTGTGTTGTCCATTAGCGTGAATTCCATGCTACTTACCTGAAGAATCGTGGAGATCGGTAAGGTAATCGGTCGATCCTGCGCTCCCGTTTTCGTTGTATTTATAGAGTTGAATGTTTTGTGTGTTTCGTTTAAACGATTTTCGACGATATTCGGCGTAATCCGACGGCGGCGGGGGACGAGGAGTCACGTAGGAAGCAGAATAAATAGAAAGAAGAAGAACAACACCCAGTTAGTAATGTTCGCAGTACAGTATCCTTTTCGGCACTCTTTTTTTTAAGTTTTTGTTTATTTATTCCTTTATTTCCTTGTTTACACACGTGCATGTTATCAAATACCGATCGTCGGTCGAATTAATCGTGTACTTTCGACAAAGAGCGATGCATAACGGAAAGAAGAAGAAGACGAAGTAGAAGAAGAAGCAAGGGAATGTGTACCTTCGGCGAGAGGAAGTGGTAAAACAAATCGTATGAATCTTCCATCGTACGCGAGTAAGAAATTTGGCCGATTGTCGCGTTGTGTGTCTATCGAGATTGGTTTAGATGTTAGTCACGGTTAGCACTTCGGTACACGTCATTTTCATTAACGTAGTTTAGTATAACGTACCAACGCATAAGCGGAACACTCGCATCGTATTCAAACGTAATAAGTATAAGTGGCGATTTATCTTCGTGATTTAATTCCATTGCAAAGATATTCGTAACGCGTTCTCTTCCATTAATTCGTATTATCATTGCACACGCTAGGTAAGAAACAAAACTATGCTAGATAGGATAAACGAAACATCTGATTCGCTATGCGAAAGCAAAAAAAAACACACGTACAATCGATATTTGGAGAGAAACGGAGTATAAAACACGTCCTACATCGAATGCATCGGAGAGAATTAATAAAAAATATAGATTTGCGAAACAAATATAGCCGTACTTTCGTTTATGTTATAATCGTTCGTATGGTAACAAAGATTTACAGAAACATCGATACAATATTCATCGCGTTGTCCGTCGATGCGGTATCGTACTACTTAAAGTGTCACGCGTGTTCAACTATTTCTTATACCTCGTCAATTGGCGTGTTCAATTTCAAAACATCTAAATGCAGCTACAACATTTATTCTCGCAATAATATATATTACATGCATCGTATAACAATGACACTTGGACGATACAAGTAAAGGAGAAGCTAAACCGTCTTCCTATCGATTGTTCCTATTTAAAGATACATTGTTCGAATCGCATATGCAGTTACTCGAGTAATGGAAAAATAGGAAGACGATTCTTCCGTTTCACCGAAATTAATCTTCGCGTGTCAGCCCGATGTTCAGGGTGTAATTGAAACGGTGGTCGAACGGTTGTCTCGTTAAGATCGGTGAAACGAAAGTATCGAAAGCCCTCGGCCGGGAATTTAGACGCGATAGGAGAAATGGCGGTAAGTGGTGCCGCCAGGTAAACGACCGGAAGTGTGGGACTCGTAAGAGGAATGATAGCTTCCAGGACCGCCGCCGGTCGATGTCCTAGTCGACCTCTCGGTCGAGTACGATCCGTACGGTCCGCTCTCCCTCTTCATGACGTTCTCTTCGGTGTAGCTAGACCTCTGCGGACGGCGGCTGTACGGATCCGAAGAGGAGGAGGAACTCGACGAGCTGGTGTTGGTGTAGGCATAGCTGTACTGCTCTTGAGCAGCCCTCACCCCGGCTTCCGGATAGTCACGGACCACATAATGACGAGGCGTCTATAGATTCGGGTTACATAAGGTCAACAATGTGGAGAACAGGCGTTTCCGGAGAACAGAACTCGATTTCTTTATCGAAAAATCAAAACGCGTCGCACGTTCGTCATCTTTCCGATGTCGTTTTCCCAGTTCAAGTCGAAAATAGATCGGTTATTATTTTACTTTCCCCGTCGAAAAAGGAGAAATGAAAAATAAACATGGCCGATCTCGAAGGTTGCGAGCTTCTCGAGTGGCAGAGTTTGATTCGTCGCGCGTTAATTCTCGAAAATCGATACACGGTGGAACATCGATACGAACGTTTCTGGATTTTAATTAATTTGGAAGGTGAGTTTTGATAAGCTCTGTTCTCCGTTTCGGAATAACGTGTATTGGAGAAAGGGACATTGCGTGTCACGGAATAGTAAGGGGTACTTGGCTCGATTCGTCTTACCCTCTTACCGTTCCACGTCATATCGTTTAAAACGACATTCGATCTAGACACGATTCATTAATCATCGACCGTTGCCAATGTTACTCTCGACGATCGAAACGAATCGTTGAACGGGTGACTTTTGGGAGGAAATCGAGAACGTTAGGTTTGGGTTAATGTGAAACTACAACTTAGCTATGTTACAATGCGGAAGAAGAAAGTAAAAGGATCGCTAAGATGATTCGCGATGATATATCGAACTATCTGTAGACACACAACGTGCGGGCCAATTATAAACGTAGAGCGGTACACGTATGCATTAATAATGTCTCCTTGCCGAGATATTCAGGACACTCTAGAGTGCAACGTTGAGCAACTGAATTCGCCCTTGCCAAGAAACACATGGATAACGTAACACGATAGTGTGTACGTTATGTTCGTGTTCTTTGCCCATATGCACGAGTGCATCTCGGTGTCTCGTTTCGACGTCAGTTTTCGACCTAAAAACTTTGTTCACGGTCTCTTTCAACTTCGCTCGACCATTGATCTCTAGAAAGCTTAACCACTTCCGACCATCGCAAATGCCCGATATAAGATAAATAAATTTCCCAGGCGCCAATAATATTATAGCACAAATATACATCACCGGTTTTCTCCCTTTTCCTATACTAACGGTACAGCTTAGGTGCCATTATTATAAAACAGGGTATTGTTCAACTCGGGAGGTCTAGCTTATCCGTAGACGTGTCTTGGGAACGAATCCAGTAAACACGCCTTTCGAGATCGAAGCACTTTATTTGCTCGACATGCATACAAAGGAAACGAAAAGTATTGTAACTCTTCGTGATTTTGGAAAACAAGTTGTTTGTCTGTGTGAAAGCCTGTTCGTGTTTGCTAAAACGAAAAAAAAAAAAAAAAGAAAAAGAAAGAAAAAATAATCAGAAAAATATCAGCTTTATCGTATTATAAAAAAAGCCTGAGAGGAAATCATCGATCACGAGGCTCGAATTTGAATCGTAATTAATATTCCTTTAGTCTAAGCCCAAACAAAATTCGCGTTACGACAAATCCATAAATTTACCGTGTAACACGCTAATTTAATTTTTAGATCCTCTGGATTAACTCGATTATCCGAATATTCAAAACGGAACTAACTTCTACGAAGCAAGGTATCAAAATGTTTCTCAGTCATGACGATTTCTCGGATTGTCGTTTCACAAAGTGGCATATACATCGATTAGGTATCGTAGGTTCAGAGGTTGCTAAAATCGGTACCAAGAAGGCGTTTGAAGCGCCATCAATATCTTGGTATGGCCACTAGCAGTAGGGGCGACGTGTCTTTTAGTAGTCGATTGCCTGGAAAGTACTCCTTTCCCGAAAACGTGTCCCTTGGTTGCCAATTCAGTCGCGGCGTCCAGGCTGACCTTTGATACTGCACCACCGTCCACCAGCTGACGAGCATGATCTTCTTTCGCGGGGTTCTTACCACGCACAACACCTTCCTTATCCTTCAGGGTAACATACTGATAAAATTCCTTTTTCGGATCTTGTTTCTTGCGACCCCAAACGGTGAACGGTTCAGGTACCAAGGACGGTCGCGGAACAAACGGCACTTTTTCCCACGGGAAGTAGTCCTGTTTCTGTAAATTTCATCAGGTTCGAGATGCGTTTAACATCTGCCCCGTTCAATCGTTTCCTTTTCCCTATCCGGGATCGTTTTCCCTTTTCGTCGAACGTCGATCGAAAACTTCGTTCCTTTCGATGTCTTCACTTCCACACCATTCTTCCGTATTACCGCTACGTTATTGCGTATCGCTCGCCGATATTTCGCTAGTGAAAATCGTGATATTTGCATTTGCATGTAAAGAATGTGCGTTCGTCATCGCAGTTACGTTGAGTAGAAGGGAAACGTACGTATTATCTTCTTTCTTATCCCCGCGACGATTCTTCACCCGAGCTTATTTCGTGCCACAGTCACAGATACGTGTTTCATATCCTTGTGCAAAAATAGATCGAAGCAATATGAATGGTATAGAAGGAACGCAACACCCGCGCTCTCATATTCGCCTCCGCACATTCCGATTCGTTGATCGAGATTTTTACGCCAACCCCTCTTTATATCGTGTCCGCAAATACACTCGTGCCAAACGATTTTCTTTCCCTTTAAATATTTTCGTTCAATCATCGTGCCTTTGTATATATCTTTGCCCGTATATCTAGACGTCGCTGCATATCTAGGTATATTTTTAGAACTCGTGACTCTCCATGGAGAGAACCTTTCTGTTTCTTAACCGTGACGAAAAGCACGGGTCGTCTAAATATCCTTCCTTCCTAGAATCGTTATTTCCAGAGCTAATTATAACGCGAGAACAGAGAATTCTCTCCATCTGCTTCCGTTTCGTTAGGGCGGAAAGAGGTCCGATAAAAATAGGTCGGATTATATTTGATACCGATTAGAATCATTTTCAGCGAGATTCACGAGATATTAGGAAACACGAGCTACTGTGACACTATGTTTGCAAAGTAAATATGGCCAGCAGAAATCACGTATGAATTTCTGTGACGAATTTTAGACCTCGTGGTGGGAGTGAACGTCGCTGGTACGTCGTGAGTCTAAATTAGGGCAGAGTAACGCAACACCGATGCTCACAAATCCCCTCTACTGAAACGAAGAAAGACGGGAAGTATCTTAATAACATCTTCAACCACCGAAAGACGTTTCCTCGTGTCTGTCGTTTCATCGACCTCTTTGTCATTCAAATCGTTCGAGATGCTCGAGTTAAAGGCCTCGGCGAAGATCTTTCGAACATAGTTAGAATTACTGAAGAGTTAGGTATTTAGGTCAGCTTTTTAGCTGTACCATTGATCCATGATCGACAATGAAACGGTCCGATAATCCAAATTGCCGCAGAAAACCATGGAAAAATGTGGTTGCAAAAACTTTTAGCAAATTTCCTCCATAAATTATTCCTTTCGTTACTCCGAATTTATAACTTACTCGGTCACAGTTGTGCCTCATAATTTGTTCAGTTACATTTCTAGCTATGCTCTGCCCGATTGGGTTTTCTCGTTCGTAGACTTGTCGTTCCAAATACGTTTTCCTGTTCACGGATCCAAAATTTGCCGGGTCGCGCGGCATCTAAGTTTAACGCGACAGAGTCCCGGAAAATGGCTGCAACGCTATGAATAGGCTTTTCTCTAATTCCTTTGCTCGCAAATCGCTACTTATATCGGTTTCCAAAATTATTCGCCGAAAGACGAAAAGGAGTTGGACCACTTCAAACTCTCGGATCCAGCTTCTATATAGATTTCGAGTAGGAAGTTAACGAGACATGCCGTGATAAAAAGAAAAGCGATATCGTATCGAAGTAAAACGTATTTCAAAAATGAAAACCTAACGAGTCGCTTTGTTGAACGAATTTCGTTATTCGTTACTCGATTCGAACTCGTATCAGAAATTCTCCTATCATTTATCTGATAAACGAAGAATTGGCACAAAGAGGTACATAAAACATACAATTGATACATAGTCGATCAAACCCTTGTTACTTTAGGGTATAACATATACGTACATACAAAACAGGTTCAAAACGAGCACAGTGAGGGTGTTCTTGAAAACAAATCATTCAACAGGTATCTTTTCCGTCCGTGTAATTTGACGGGTAGCTCGTGTCAGAGCTTATTTGGTACAGGTACAAATTAATTCCGTAAACTGGAGGTTATTACCGTGCAATTGCACGTCTAACTCTTCTAATTGATACTCGACGCACACTTGATCCGTATTGTTAAGTGTGCGCGTTAATAGAAGTGTACATTGTACTAAGATCGCTGTCAATCGTGCAATCGACTGGTACTAAATATTCATTTGACTTCTGGGAGACACCGAGTGCATGTTTCAAGGCTTGCAAAACTGTTAAACAGTAACAGTGATAACAGTAACAACGGTAGTAAGAGCAAATAATAATAATGGTCGGAATACAGTGTGGAAGTAGAGACTTCGAAATGCATCGAATTCGATCCGTCGACAGCACCAACGATCCGTTTAGATCGCGTTTGTATTGTGCTTGATATCATGCCTGTCGTTGATCGATTTCGTGAACGAACGGATGATCAAGGAGTGTCATTCTATCGATCGTTGAAGAGTCAATGTCTCGCCGTTTTCTAACAAACGCGATATATCGTTAAACGCGAAAGGCCAGGCAAATTATAGACAGATGTTCGAGGAACGTAAGAGAAATTACGATCGAAAGGGTGTAAAACATTGACTCTGGATCGAATAAAGTCCGAACAAGGGTGGCTCGGTTAAAGTGTTTCCGTGTCACACTCGACG